TGCATCAGTGTCTCAGCAATGGATGCTCTGCAGTGAATGGGTGCCGTCAGAATGAGAGTCCAAACAGCTGATAAAAACATCACAATAATCCACAAGTAATCCACAGCACTCCAGTCCATCAGTTAACATCTGGAGAAGACAAAAGCTGAAACTAATCCAGCATTCAGACATTTTTAACTTCAAACCGTTGCTAAAATACGACTCACGTTCCCTTATGTTCCCTTATTCCCTATGCCATTCATAGTGCCCTTCAAACTGAACAAGTTCGCTCCCTTACAGTGACTAATGACTAAAACACCCATCTGCTCTTTCTCCTGGACGTTGTGTAAAACCAGGCAGTCAGATTACATCTTACTATGCAGTGAAAATGATTCTGGTTCAGTGTGAAATAAGCATCAGACGGTTAGGACCAGACTGTTGCACTGAGCCTGCCAAACCTCACGCAAACCTTCTGCTTTTTTACACTTCATCACATCACATTCCTGAATCTAATATAGTTTTAATACATTTAGCATGAATATATTATAATTTTCCCACACACACAGATGTGAATGATAAAGATGAGGAGGTTTTTCACCGTGTCGTGTGTGTTTGACAGGAACCATCCGAGTGTCTGGAGGAGAGTTTGGTTTTCCCTCAAACTGAATTCAATCTTAAATCAGAGAATGGAGCAGATAAAGCAGACGCTCCGTCAGAAAACCCCGGCAGCCACAATCCCTCTCCTGAGATCCCGCGTATGTGCTCCGTTTCCAATAACAATCATTGTTTATGCATTGTTTTTCATCAAATATTCATACGTTCACAGATCTGTGTACTAGCCATGTATTAGTGCATTATATTTTCTGTTTCTGTCTTCTGTTCCCTAGCATTAAAGAATAGTGCAGACAGGAAGTTCTTGTACCTACAGCTTCCTGTTTCTCTCAAGCTTCTGTACACCGTTCTGCAGGTAAACATCTCACTCTGTTCAGTCAGGCTTGTGCGGCGTTTATGTTTCTCATGAGTCTGCTGCGATGTTTCTTGTAGGAGATGAGTAATGTTGAGGAGCCAGACATCCTCTTCAACATGCTCAGCTGTCTGAAGATCCTGTGTTTGCACGGAGAATGCCTGTATCACGCCAGGAAAGATCAGCCTCAGTTCCTGGCCTACATACAGGAGAAGATGCTCATTCCCAGGTACCACTTCATAATAACAGCAAACCTACCGTAACGCTCCATGACGTAGTTAAAATCATATCATGGCAGATTATGGTCAGGTGTGTTTCTCTGAATGGCACGTTTCATATTCAGATGGCTGATTGTTGTTTGTGTCCAGCCTGTGGTCCATGCTGAGGTCAGAGTTCTGTCAGCTGGCGTCTCTGGCTGTGCCGCAGCTCCTGCATGCGCTCGCTCTGTCCCACGGTGCAGATATCTTCTGGAGGCTGGTCGACAGCAGCTTCAACAGTCAGGACTGGAAGATTCGCTTCGAAGCAGGTCTGACTGCATTCACATCCGCACCTTTCTGTTCATTTCCTAAAACACTTTGCTGCCATGATTAGCGCTCGGGCTCCTGGAGCACTGTGGGATTAACTGGAGCCTCTTACAGTGATTGAGAGAGAGAAGCTGTGACCTTGAGCTACAGTCAGACAAACACAAACAAAGACACGACCTGTGCAGATAAAGAGGATTGAAAGGCTGTTACTGACGCATTGTGTAAAGGGTTCATCATTTACTGCTCACAGTGTGACCATACGACAAGTGCTGTTTGCTACATCATCTATGTGAATGTTGAAATCACCAACAATCAAAACGGTCAGCAGCAACTACTGGATCTGACAGACAAATTATTACTAGTGCTTATATTCAGTGATAGTGATTTGAGTAAAACATCTCATAGCTGCACACTGAAGAAGGACCCGAGCCTCGTCTACAGACCTGAAGATCACAGAGACGCGAGGATACGGGACTCTTGAACACCTGCCAGGAAGAAAACACCTACAACACAATAATAACCAGATATTAATGCACTAAAAACCACACTGCATCCACCCACAGCACACACACTAGTGTCACCGTCGACGAGAACAATAGCAGATCAAAGAAATATTCATTAACGAAAATAAACTTTACAACACATATCAATAAAGGAAACACTGATAAAGATTAAATAATACAGTCAACTTTCAACATAATGTACAGGCCTGCAAACAAAGTAAATCCCGAACTAAACTAATACATAAAGCCAACACGTTTAACCAAAAGAACAACAAAGAAACAACCAAAAATAACAGCGAACCAAAAGGGATCACATAAGAGAACCACCCCAGAGAACCAAGAAAGCTTTTATATTTCTCAGCAGGTGTTCAGCGTTACACATCTCTCAAAGCCCCACAGCCGGCTAAAGAAGATCGATCCCAGCGGCACGGCACACTAGTGTCATGATGGCCAATTCATGACAGCATTAAATGAAAAACAACAAATTGCAAGACTTACAACCATGAATGTGGTCATTTTTATATATTACAAATGAGTCTCTGTGGATAATTGATTTATACCCGGAGGAAAGCTGTTTAAAACCAAAACACATTGGCCAACAACATTTTTAATAAATTAGCCCATATTTATTAGAGGCTTTTTATTTTCAACCACTTGAGTGCCATGCGGATTCTTGTTTTTCATTTATGAGTTACTTTTTATGTAGCACACTCTTTCTATATTTTGATGATAACAACAGTTCAATCATGACAACTCTCTGAAGATTTTAGCATGGTGATGGATATGACAATGTTAATGTATTTGGTTTTGGCGGAACAGATCCTGTGGAGGGTTTCAGAGAAACTCTGAAAGCGCGTTGCAGGAATCTCTAGTGAATGCTAGCCAGCTATATAAATGCAAGGCAGTAAGCTCATTGGCTGCATATGCAGCATGAACCAATCAGCTTGTGCCAAGTCGTTTAACTCTCTGAATATCATCAGTTACGTTAACAACCCATCAGCCTGCGCCATCTAGAGTTTCATGACTGAACTATATATTTGTAGATGTCATCAGACACCATCAATGATTGTTCGTGTTTGATGATATTATTTCTGGCTGTCTCTTTCAGTGGAGCGCGTGGCTGTCCTGTGCCGCTTTCTGGACATGGGCTCGGTCACTAAGAGCCATGTGCTGAAGTATTCTCTGGCTCACGCTTTCTGCTGCTTCTTGGCCAGCATCGAGGACGTGAACCCCGCCGTGGCCACCAGAGCTCGCCTGCTGCTGGACTCCATCAAACGGCCCACGCTGCAGGTGACAGAGACCTGATCGCACCAGTGTCCCCGTCACGTCATGAAGGGACCGGGACTAACGTGTGTTTGTGTGTCCTCCACCAGGGCCTGTGTCTGTGCCTGGACTTCCAGTTTGACACGGTGGTCAGGGACCGGCCCGTCATCCTGAGCAAACTGCTGCTGCTGCACTCGCTCCGACAGGAGATCCCCGCTCTGAGCTGGGAGTTCTTCGTCAACCGCTTCGAGACGCTGTCGCTCGAGGCCCAGCTGCACCTCGACTGCAACAAAGAGTTTCCTTTTCCTACCAGTGAGTGTGTTTGAATTAACTGTTCATGTCAGCACGTCTACAGCGGTGTGTGTAGAGTATGAAGAGGCTTTCTGCAGGTCTCAATTCCTCGTCCACAAATTAAAGCCTTAAAAAGGTCTCAATTCAGAGCAGAAAGTCTTAAATTCATAAAGTGTAACTGAAAAAAAGAAATCTGATCTAAACATTCTTAAATCAATATACAGTTGCATGAGATGCAAAATGAACATATGAAGTCTTGCTTTCTGAGAAACTGAACATAATTACATTTATGCTTATAACAAATATCATGGGTGCTTCTACTAAATACTGAGCATTTTTCAGTTTTTCTTTTTTAATAAATTTGCAAAAATGTCAACAATTCTGTGTTTTTCTGTCAATATGGGGTGCTGTGTGTACATTAATGAGGAAAAAAAATTAACTTAAATGATTTTAGCAAATGGCTGCAATATAACAAAGAGTGAAAAATTTAAGGGGGTCTGAATACTTTCCGTACCCACTGTACATTTGCATGAGATGCAAAATGAACATATGAAGTCTTGCTTTCTGAGAAACTGAACATAATTACATTTATGCTTATAACAAATATCTGTCACTTAGGTTTTAGGTATGAAAACTTGAATTACCTTTGAGTTAAGTAGATTTTTCTGAGCCCACTGGCAGATATCTGTTCTTGTTTTAATCATAAGTTCACTTCACTTTGATACATTTCTCATAAAACAAGACTTTTTGAGTAATTTTGCTTCTCAAATAAATATATCTTGAATTAAGATGACAGAAATATTGAGGAAGAACAGCACATTTGTTGCAGTGTGATCAGAAGATACAGTAACAGTTATTTCTATATTCTAGTGGTTTGCAGCAGAGCTATTAAAGTAAAGTCATGGAAATCTGTTAGACGATGGACATTTACATTTAGAGGACATATTGACTTGTGTTCCCTTCAGTTTATTCTTACATTTTCTTTACTTGGTCTTGAAAAGGTGTTAAAGTCTTAAATGTACCTTCATAAAGCCTGCAGAAACCCCGATTACACACCAAGTTGATCATGTCTTGATTTGCTCTGTAAGCGATCACAGCGGTGAGGACTAATGTGGCCAACCTGAGCGATGCGGCCATGTGGAAGATCAGACGTGCTCGCTTCGCCCGCAACCGTCAGAAGAGCGTCCGCTCGCTACGAGAAAGCGTCAAGGGTTCGTCCGGGTCCAAGCGCACTTTCTCCCTCCCGGAGACACTGTGTAACAAACTGCGTGAGTGACCTGAACCTCCTGTAGCTGTGCTGCTTTTCCATCACATGTGACTGCTGCTGACCTGCATGAGAACATCCCATCAGTATCTGTCACACACTTGAGCTCAACAGTGGAATGATTGTTTTGCTCAAATATTTGTCTCTGAATTGACCAAAGATGTCCTTCACTTTCTGTTTCTCTTTTTTTCTGGATTCAGCTCTCAGACTCATAAGACAAGAGCAGTCGGCGCCCTCACTGGGAAACATGTTCGAGAAAGTCCTGACAGGTAAAGCACACTAACCTCGTCAAGCATAGCAGCACAGCATCGACGGTCACTCATGACTCATTAACAGTGAAAATACTGTACATGTATGGTGGTGTTTGGACACACTGTTCCTTCCTTTCAGCGTGTGCTGTATATTAATCTTAATTTGCTATGTATAATTATATTCATAAGTACTTTAGTTTGGTTCAGAATCATCACCCCAAGTGTGGTCACCCACACATCAGTTTAAAGGGGTTCTATTATGCAGTATCACAAAGTCTTGGTTTTGGGGTGTGCTAGAATAGGTTTTCATGCTTGATTTTTCCAAAAACAAAAAAATTATGTTTCTCATATCTTACATTATTGCAGCAGCTCTCTTCCCATTCGGTCTCAAACGCTCTTTCAAACGTTTCAATGAAGCCCCTCTTTCCAAAATACAAAATGTGCTCTGATTGATTAGCTGGCCCTGTATTCTGGAAATACACTGTAGAGTAACATAACATAAACCCACAAACAATAAATGTAATAGAATTAGAACAAAGCATTAAATATATGGAAAAAAAAAATCAAAACATAAAGTGGCTACATCACAAAGCCCAGTTAGAACACCCAACCTAAAATGTAATAGAACTGTCGGCAGAAAAATACTGAAAACAATATAGGATGACAACAATTTTAATTGTTCACCAGATAATGACAGAAACATTACAGACAACTCACATGCTCTCCACCATGTTGTTATGTTTTAATAACTTCACCCCTCACTTCCAGCCTGAAACGGGTGATCGTGAGGCGCTGCGAGGCTGCAGCCGGACAGTATCTCACTAAAGCAGCTCTTCTTCTTCAGCTATTCTAGCGCAGCTCAACCAGGCCTCGCCTGTGGACAGGGATCATTTAAATGAGTGACTTTGTGACTACATAATATCTGGAAGAATGAGCCGTTTGTTGTAGTTCTTGAATTGAGGTTTCTGTTTCTGTTAAGAGAATATCTCCCTTTGGAGTGGACTTTGAGCTTTGTAAACTTGCAGAGCTTTGTAAACTTGCAGATCTTTTTTATGCTCAAATAGCAACATTGTAGAGCATCTGTAGAGGAGACTAACAGCGCCACACCTTGTTACCGTGCAGGAGAGAGCTCTCCTCCAGAGGACGACTCCGTCATTAAGGATCTGCTGCCGGAGGACGCAGGCATAGACCACCAGACCGTCCATCAGCTCATCATGGTGCTCATGAAGTTCATGGCCAAAGACAAAAGCA